TCGGGTGGAGACAGACAGGCAGTGCCTACCCAGTTGGGGAAATGCGTGTGTCTGGGCACACTGGGGTTCAAACCCATCTGTCGTTTACAAATAGGGTGATATGATGCCAGACAATGGATGGGCCCCTGTGGACATCTGTGTCTCCATCTGCAGTAGGGACACCCAGCAGCCCTGAAAAGCACTGTGAAGATGTCTGGCTGGGATCGCAGGAGTGTCTGGCCAGGTGCAGGACCCCAGGGACCACCCTGTGGGGCACGGCTGCCATGACACCAAAGCAGGGTGCTGCCGACACCCTAGAGACGGCGGCAGTGGAAACATCCCCTAGTAAACAGACACGCTGCACTCGGGTTGCTCTGCTCTGTGTACCAGCAGCCTTGAGGCCTGCAGCTTCGGGGCAGCCCGTGGCAGCTGGCACACATCTGGCTGGTCCCCTCAGCATCTCGCAAGACCACGTGGTCATCATCAAAAAGTACGAGCTGCTATCTAAACACCACCCATGTTTTCCTATATTTTAACTGCCTTTTTGAGCGTTTCTCACGTGCCAGGCACTTGGCACCCTTGGTCCCAATAAAGTCCCAGGGGGAGGTGGCATCAGAAGCACAGAGAGGTTCAACAATCAATAATGCCGTCAGGTGGCAGAGCTGGAGTTTGAGCCTCAGAGACCTAAATTCAGGGGACGCTTTACCGTGTGCTGCCGAGGCAAAGCAAGTGGCACAAGGAAGCCCGTGTTTGTACAGAGGAGGAGTCGATGGTCAGGCTTCCGGCCAGCAGCTACTGTCAGCAACTGCGGCTGGCCTGGCCGTGAGGACCAGTGGCAGGACAGACCCCTCCACAGGTTGGACCCCTTCCTACCCTCTCCTCTCACCACCCAGACTGCCGATTTTCTCTCGCCCGCTCACAGCTCTCCCATGACCCAGATGATGCTCTGGAGGGTCAGGGTGTGGGACAGGCAACGTCTCCATGCGTGAGGATCACACTCCCTTTTCTGGAACAGTAAGACAGGACTTTGCATGAGTTCATCAAACTCAGGACTTGAGGCTCAAAACTACGCCATCTCTCCCCAAACTACCTCATAGACAGAATCTATAAAGAATCAAACGGTCTTGGGTGGCCAGTTAGGAAGGGACCCTGAAGATCAGGGCAAAGCAGTTCAGAGTTCGGTGGTTCCCAGGCTGAGCTGGAGATGGCCCTCTGGGTCCGGGCAACGCCCTTTTCAGATGTAATTTCTGCTGACTTTCTGGGTCAGGTGGATTTGCCTTCTGCTGCACTGAATTCAGACGGAGTCACACAGGGAACCCGGCACCAGTGCTGCTACCTGTGTGATACTCCAGGATGACAGCATGTCATTCCCCGCCAGGGACAGTGGCCCCTGCAGAATGGCATCGTCCAGACCTCTCGCCAAGTCACAGACTTCTAAACCAGAGTGTACATACCTTAGAACAGGGCTCAGTGCTTTTCTTGGTTCCTCATTGTAAAAGCAAAGCACACACAATGAAGAAAACTCTGAAAAGTCACGGCAAGTATAAAGACACAGGTGGGGAAACCTGCCTTTCTCCCGCCTCCCATAGAGGAGGGCCGCTGCTGACGCCGTGAAGTAATTCCTTCTAGTGTTTTCTCCCTTGTTGTTTTTATAGAGTTGACATCATACGTGAGATGCAATTTCTGTCCTCAGCTGTTTTCTAAATTAAACTTTTCGTAAGCACGTTCCCCTAGCATTAAACACTTCTCACATACAGCTCTAGAATGCTCCCCTCCCACCCCAGAACGCGTGTCAGGAGGACATGGGTTTTTGTTCTTGTCCGAGGCTGACTGCCCGGGCCTGCAGCAGTGCTTGGCATACAGGAGGCATTTAGTGTAAACATTTGTTGGCTGAATGAATGAATGATCACATGGCTAATATCCCATCACCCCCCTCCACATTGAGGTGGTTTCTGCCTTTTTGCTGTTACTAGTAATGCTGAGATGAACGCCTCTGTGGCTACGCCATTGCCTGTACTCGGGCTAGGTGAAGGACTGTGTCTCTCTGTTCCAAACACTGGGACCTGCGCCAACAGAGTAGGGGACAAGGGCTCAGGTTCTAGCTCTGCCACTTACTCTCCTTGACCCTGCACAGGCCTCAGGTTCCCCTCTGGGATGGTGGGTGGGTTTGCGTGAAGGACCCTCCAGGTCCCTTCCAGCTCCATGATGCTAACACAGTAGCCATGGGAACGGAAGCTGACTGAGCCAGCCACTCAGGCTCTCCACCTAGCCCTGCACCCTGTTATGGGCTGAATTATGTTCCCCCCCCAAAAAAAAGAATCCATATGTGGAAGTCCCAACACCACGCAACCTCAGATTGTGACTGTATTTAGAGATAAGACTTTTGTGGAGGTAATTATGGTAAAATGAGGTCATTGGGATGAGCCTTAATCCAGTATGCCTGGTGTCCTTATGAGAAGAGATTAGGACAGAGACACACACAGAGGGAAGACCATGTGAGGACACAGGGAGAAGGTGGCCACCTGCAAGCCAAGGAGAAAGGCCTCATGAGAAACCAACCCTGCCCACACCTTGATCTTGGACTTCCAGCCTCCAGGAGTGTGTAAAGATAAAACTTCCATTGTTTAAGCTCCTGGTCTTACTTTGGTACTTTGTTAGCAGCCCTGGAAGAATAATAAACCCTCCATGAACCACTGACCACCCGGGGAGCCTGCCTCCCAGACCAGCAGCCGCCCGGGGAGGACATCAGGATCAGAGAAAGCATGGGTCTTGCTCAAGGACCGGGCGCCCATTGGTGGCAGAGCTGGCACCCGAGCCCCTCCCAGTTCAGGCTCTTTCCTCTGCCCCACCTTGTACTGTTGTGACCACATGGGCTGCGATGTTATGAAGCCACCACCACACTCATAATCATCTACTGGGCCTCACCACATGTGGGCCAGCACTTTGGGCAGGGGTTGGGGCGTTCCCTCCAAACAATGGGGAAAGTGAGGCACGGGGGGCCCCCAGCTAGTGTGCTGGATTTGGACCCAGGCCTGTCTGGTGCAGAAAACCATTTCTTAATTTCCCTGGCCACTCAAAATCAACAAGCAACAAAACAAGTAGGTGACTGCACGGGACCTTGATGCCATGTGAACCATCTCAAAGATGTCCTCGTTACCAGACTAAGGGAAGACACTCCTGCAGCCTGATGGCATAAAGGAAAGGGGACCCTCCTTCAGGGGAGGTTGTACAGGTCGCCTCAAGCTTTGACTGTCCAGCCCATCTCAGCAGCTGGAGACGGGGCCACATTATGCCCAGCCACACCTGCTGGCACCGAGCTCCAGACGGATGCCAGCCTTCCACAGGAGGGCCATCAGCGGACCTGCCCTGGATGATGGAAGCCCCTGACTTGCCAGATGTGCGCAGTGGCCAGACATTAGAGCCAAGTGCCAGGCACAAGGGGCCACACTGCTGTCCCCCACCACAGGTGTAGTGAAAATTACTGCTATGCAAATAATGGGCTGGGGACAGCTATGGGGCATACGCGACAGGTGGATGGGAGAGCAGGCTTGCGGCCAGTTCCAAAGAGCTGATTTGCTCAGGAAGACGAAGGTAAACTGGACCATCTAGTAATGTCCACCATAAGCTATTAAGGACCTACTATGTGCAGGGTTTCTCACTCGTACCTTATCCTCTCCAGGTAACCATCAATACTGCTTCTATACATCAGGAAGCCAAGCTCAGGAAGGTGTCATGATTTGCCCAAGACCACCAGGTGGTCACCATGGTTCAAACCGCAGTCCCCTTGCTCTTTCCAGCTATGACCCCCACGTCCCCCAGTGCCCGCATACCCCTTCTCCCAGGACAACCACCAATGAGGAGGGATGAAGGTCCTTCCAGGGTTCTCCCTGTTTATAGGAGGGCCGGAGGTATCAATTATGGCCACAGAAAGCCCCAAATTACCCAGTGAGCACCCTGCCATTATGCCCGCCTCCCATTAAATAAATGTGTCTGGAAGTCCTGCAGAGACTGGGGGTGCCCTGCTCCCATCCCAGATAACAGGTTGGCCATTTCGGAAATCCTCTTCTAGAGAATTCTGTCTCCCACAGCCTGCCATTTGCTCTCAGCACTCTCCCAGTGCCCCCTGCCAGTGTACCCCTTTCCTTGGTTCGGAGGGGGAGGAGACAGTTTCCCCTGGGGGGAGGGGTCCCTGGAAACACAGCACCCTCAGGCTGAGAGCACACAGTAAGCACTCGCTAAATGCACACTCCCTCCCCATTCGGAGCCCCCTCCCCAGGGAAGCAGCTGTCCCCGTTGGCTTTTGCCCTCCTCCAAAGGCCAAGCTGCGGTCTGGAGAGACAGGATCAGATGAAAGGGCACAGGAGTCCGGGAGCTCGAGTCTCCGCCCCGCTGTGGGAACTGAGCAAGCGATAAGCGCATGAGCCTCAGTCGCACCCTGAAAAATGGGGTGACGGTCCCCGCCCTGCCAGGGAATGTACGGACGAGCCCTTGGCCCAAGGCCTGGCCCCAGGAGGCTCTCAAAATCAGAGCTCTCAGGCCGAGATCCAGGCTCATCTGCCAAGGCCTCCCAGGTCCTGGTCTCAGTTTCCCCGAGCGCTCTAGGCGCGGCTGGCTTGTGACGATGTGGGATTTTCCAGCGCCGCACAGAGGCCGTCAGATCTGGTGGGTGCGGCGCGGGAGGCACCAGTGGGATGCGCAGGGGTGAGGCGCCAGAGGCCACGCGCGGAGATCCAGCCAAGTCGCACACACCTGCGGGCTCCGCGCCCCCCAAATCTGCCGCGGGAGAGCCCCGGGCGCTGGGAATCGGTCTGACGCCCCCAACCCAGGACCTAGGCTCTGCGGGAGCCGCGCAAGGGCGGCGCCCCCTGCCGCAAAGCCCCCCATGTCATCTCACAGCTCTCCGAGTCAGGGGCTGAGGCGGCTCTGTGCTGCTCGCCGGGACCCTGGCCGCCTACTGCAACCTGCGGCGACCCCGGACCTGGGAGAAGCATAGGAGTGGCGCCTTGCAGACAGCCCAGCGCAGCCACCCCAGCCGGCGCAGTGGGAAGGGGGATCCCCAGTCTGCGCGGCAGAGCTACACGCCTGGGGCTCCGGGCCAGGGAGCTACACACAGGACCCTCCGGACTGCAAGACCCTGGAGCAAAAGTTGGGTGGATCCGCTGGGCGATTTCCCTCTGTGCTGCAGGTGCAGCTCCCCCTGTCACTGCTGCGCCGCGACCCTGCTCTGGGACCAGCCTGTCGCTAGTCCCAGCACTCACCTGCACTCATCTCAGCGGCAGCTTGTAGCCGGGCTCCCCGGGCGCTACTGCAGCCCGATGCTCCTGCCCGCAGGTGCCGCGCTCAGCTGCGCGATAGCCCGTCCTTCCACCGGTCGGCTGCTCAGCGCACAGCCGCGCCTGCCCGCAGCGTCGCCGCAGCCTCTTCGCGCGCCGGCCCCGCCCCGCC